GCGGGGGGGGGGGGGGGGGGGGGGGGGAAATTACTTGGAACAAGACTCGGACCACTTCCTTTGCATCTGGCAATTTATCCAAAGCAATTAGATCCTGTAGAAGAAATACAGAAACTACTGTACTCAATATGAAAAGAGGGAAGAATAATCAGGAGTTCAGCCATGTTATTTGGAGTAGAAAGATTAAGCTAAGATCAAAGTGAAAAGACAGAAAACAACCCGCATTTCCATCGCTGAGAACATCAATTCGCTTCCGAAAACAAGCAATGAGAAGAGTATTTGCGAAGACCTAGGAATCCCACCATCTCACTTCATGAATTCCAGCTCCATGTCGCGAGGCAGGTAATGCCCCTGGGGCTGCTGGCCATTCCAGGGCTGCATGCTCTGCAGAGCGCGCTCCTGCTCAAGAGAGGGGAACATCTGCTGAGGCTGATTGTATTGAGCTGAGTGGTCGCTGGGAGTTTGCATCATGGGATGAGCACCGCGACCAATCTGAGCGCTCTGGTTGTAAAGGGTGAAATCGTTACCAGCCTGGGCCTGGAGTCCATATTCGTAGCGCTCAGAAAGAGTGTCACCGACATTGCAAGAGTCCGGTGAGTACAACATGGCATTGCCCTGTGCACCAGGAGAGAGGCCGGAGGGCTTTCCAGAGGCATCGTAGGGATAGTGATTGAGGTTCATTTGCTCGTAGTCATTCGAATAACCCTTCATCACCTCGAGGGAATGACCCTGGGGGAGCTGCGCAGCCATCGCACTGTAGTCCTCGTTGGCTGGATAGTCCAGGTTGCTCCAATCCAGGTCGAAGTTGATGCTTTCAGTGCCGGTGAGCGGGGATCCGTCAAAGGACACAGGTCCCATCAAGTCGGGAACTGATTCAGCAGATGGGATAGACATGGAGTTCATGGACTGGCGGTGCATTTCCAGGGCCGGGATCAAGCCATTCGGGTCACCAGCTTCAAATTGACTTTGGAAGCCGCTCAGGTTCACCGTGGTTGGGAACGAGTTAATATCGGTCATCAGATAGGGTGACGTTTCTCCGAATAGGGGGAAATCCGCCCCATGGGCAAGCGAAGGAGGGTCAGCAAAGTTGAACTGGGGATTCTCCGGCCAGTTGTAGGTCTGGTCGCTAGGAGAAGGACTGGGGCCAGGGATTGGAGAGGCGAAGTCCGTTGTCTTCGAAGCAGGAGTTGACACGCTGGGAGTCTGAGGAGTGTCCTGGGCAGAGGAGCCTCGCTTACTGCCATTGCGGCCGTTGTTCTTGGATCGAACGTAAACCCATCCATGGGATTTTTCCATATGCTGCTTGCAGTTGCTGGCACGCTTCGAAGCATAGGGGCACTTGTGGAATTGACACTTGAAAAGGGTGGGCTTGGCCGAGTGCCTGTCGTTCATGTGGCGATCACGTTCTTTCTCGGTGGGCCAACCTTTGGTGTGGTAATTGCAGTCTGTGTACTCGCACTTCCAGGGGCGAGTGTGTGTCTTCTCGTGCTTCCTGTGAATGGATTAGCATTTCAATTCTGATGCTTCGATTCAATGAATAGGACAACTTACGTCAAGTCACAAGGGCGTTTAAAGACCTTGTCGCAGTCGGCGCACTTTTGATTGATGTTCATGGGAGGAGCATCCTTCTTGCGGCGGGCCATAGAGCGCTCAACGCCCTCGTCGACCGCATCATCGAGGTTGATAGTACGCTTGGCAGCACCAGGAACATCCGCCTCGTAGGGCTTTCCAGTGGCCATGGAAATTTGCTTTCCGTCTTGCATGATTACAAGTTCAGCAGACTTCCCGTTCTGGGATAGACCACCTGCCAGAGTAGCCTGGGGGATGCTATTGAATTGGTTAGGCTCCGCTGTACAAATAAAATGGGATCACATACATAGCAGATTCAGACTCCTTGTTAGACTCGGAGCCCTGAGTCGCCTGGACTCGCTCACGTTCAGCACGAACCATTGCTGCGTATCGTCGAACCTGTGAAACAAGGTCAAGGAAGTATCCGTTAGTGTATGGTCGATCGGCCGGTAGTCGTTGATCACGATCGTTGAGGTGCGAAGCCGAAGTATGCAAGCACTGGATTGTAAACTCGCAGAAGTTGAGATATGAATTCCGAGAAGTGGCGGAGTTCTTTAAATAGAGTAAAAAAGAATAAGAATAAGCTAACCAGAACTCCATAGACCTATTGAATAGAACAATGCATTGACTTACCGGCGCCAACCACAATAGGGTTTTCTCGAGGTCACGCAAACACACAATCTGCTTATTGATAATGCGCTGGGGGACACTTCGGACCAATGGATGGAATGGTTTCAAGCGGGGCTCTTTCAAAATAGGAACAAGCACAAAACGTTCAATCTGTTTGCAGGCGGCTGGGCCCAATTGACGTTTTGGCGATGAGCCAGAATCAAAGGCCGAAATAGAGCTTGTAATGGCAGATTGATTGTCATGAATACCATCTTTCACTATTGATTGTTAGGACTCAAATAGGAAACAATAGGGAACAAAGAGCAAACAATGCATTCCTGTGCATGTGACACCCACCTTTATTTTGCGAGTCAGCGAGCCCCTCTTCGCTACTAACAGAGGTTCCCAGTCCACTGTCTGACTCGTGGCTATGCTGTTGGCAGGCGTTTTTCTCGTCTATTGGGATGGGACTGCTGCGACCCTCTTCATTCGAGGAAGGCGGCGAGTTAGACATAGACTTGGAGTTACTGCGCCCTAACCCACTATCCTGAGGATTCTCACCTCCAGCGACCTGCGAGCTCTGGTCTTCGGTAGATTCGAGAGTCAAACGGCCTAGGATGGAAGTCATGCGCTCTTCAGCAACAGCGATGGCTTCTAACGATGTTGGCGAGCGTTGAGGTAGGGAGCGGAAGTTCAAGACAGGGTCGCGATCACTCGATGGAGGAGAAGTGGGGGTATGGAAAGTCTCTCCTTTCTTCAAAGGCTTTTTCGAGTCAGGCGAGTCGCTCGACGGTGTGGGAAGGGCGGTGTTTAAGACAGGCCGACGACGCGGGTGCGCCCGCGATGGCTCAGTCTGTATGGCAGACATTATTGGGCGTAGTACTGTGTCGACCGGAAGTTAGCATATCTGTTCGGACAGGAAAGGAACGTTAGATTGCGGCTGATTGGCCCATCCCATGACTCACCAGAGAGTTGTCCAGATGATTCGAGAAGTGACGTACAGTCGAGTCAGAGATGCAAGCCTCAATTTGATGCGGATTATCTCCGTTCTTTAGTATATAACAACAGTGCTTCTCTTGGATATCGACCAAGACTGAACTAAATCGACACAGTTGAACCACTATGAGGCCCTGAAGATCTATCGCGATAGCGATTGTCTGATAGTCTCTGGATGAACATGCACTCCTAATCCAACGTGTCGCTGGGGTCGGAAAACTCCCAAGCGGAGTTCGAGATAGAGAGGATCAAGAACACCAGCTCAAATGGCTTTTAATCAACGATGTTGATATCCGAAGATGAAATGAATTCCCCGGATTCAAAGCGCTGATGAAATTCCAATTCTGAGATATAACGTCCAAGATGGGTTTCCAAGCGGTGAGGCCCACTAAATACGAAATCTGTAGAATCCTGAGACTGAAGGCAGCGATGAAGAGCAGAACAAAATAGGATTGAAAATGAAGAATAAGCCCGAACACAGAATGATGGGGGAATAAGCGGATCAAAGAAGAGAAGGGACCGGAGGCTCATGGCGTGTTGGATGTCTGCCTGATAGACGAATACGCTAACACCAAAATGGTATAGAATGCGAAGGCTGAGCACATTCTGCGAGTTATGATTGGTGTTGGAAAGCGGTTGTATTGTAATCACATAACGGTAATTAAAGAACACAGCCTTGTAGGTGGCTCCCGCGTGGTCCCCAGCGGGTATTTGTACCGTTTCTCCACTATCTCCACTAGTTCCACTGGATTCTTAAAATGGAAATTCGGGACCCGGAAAGATCAGAATTCCGTTCGAAAAGAGCCTCACGGCTGCCCAGGCAGCATTTTTATTTCACTTCCATACGCGTCCTCAATCCCAGAAGTTTCTGAGGGTGTTTTTTTCCCAAATTTTCTAGGGCAACTGTAAAAGCCGGAGTCAGCAGTTTAATTTTCATCTATGCCTACGTCACCTATTACTAGGATCATGCCATGGAAAAATCTGGGCAGTGAAAATCACCAGGGTCACGCTTATTGGCACCCAACACCCAGGGTCTTTCTTGGCCCCCAATTGATCAGCAAACAAAACGGTGCCACAACAGCCAACGAAATGTGAACACCGTCGACTATTTTTTAGGGCAATTTTGCCAGCTCACTCAAGGATTTGTTCTTGACCAATAGTGCTGGCTGGTTCATTGATTTCACAAATACGAGCTGCACATGCGCACTTGAGCCTCCCCTGTCACCGCTTGTCGTACTTGCCCGACCCAATCATAAGTCCAATGTTGTTCCTGCTCAGCCAGCGTCTGTCGGACGAAAACATGCCCGTTGGAAACAGCTTTCTTCCTATGATGCTGTGCTGATCAGACGGGCCAGACTCACCGCTCGTATCAACCCCTCTGCTCTGCCCTTGTCTGACTCCTCTTCCCCCCATACACAGCCCACCTGTCAATCCGTCAAAAAGGACCAGCTTCCCAAAGAGTACGATGTATGGCTTGGGCGAGGAGATTGTAATGATTTTTGCTTTACAACACTCTACCTGAAATCAACAGTTGTCATATCCACAAGGCCAACCGTATTGGAATCTTATGCAGTTCATTGATATGCCAAAAACATTCATGGCTCTACAATTACGTTATACTGACCACACTTTGCAATGGCTCTAGGCCATTGGGATTGGTATGGAAGCTTATTCCCCTGGCAAGCCATCCGGGGAAATCAATCAGTCAACAGCATTTTTGCTTCCCGGAATATCACCTGTGGCGCGGTCACCCGTCACCAGCCTGACTATTCCAGGCTACGATATTATTAACTTGATACGCAATTGCCTAGTTAATACTTTCTCTAGTCATCTGCTAATAATGTCGAGCTAAGAAAAACCCCGTAGTACTACGAATGAGTCTGCCTTGGCCATGGCGACAAATATATATCCAGCTAAAGAACTTAACTTAGCCAAGGTTGTTCCAACAACAGAAAAATAAAATAAGCTCCCAAACATAAACTCATCTGCTCGTTCACATTAGTTAAGATCTCGGAGTCAATTAGATTCTACCCCGAATGATGTCAGCTATTTGGAACTGGGGAAGCTTTCGTTCTTCAGACTATCACAAGCAGACAAGAGCCAATAATGTTAGAGCACGCTTGCGACTGTGACTGGGACAGAAAGCTATACACTCTTGAGTAATATTGGGGCCAATCTTGCCGATTTAACAAAAGTGCAGCAAATTATACACAATGTATATATGATGTCCTCTCTAACCATGCAAACTCCCCGACCGATTGGACCTCGGCTTCGGGATATGGCAGAATGGCGGGCGGTGCCGAGATGCCCGTGTTGATTTCCCCCGGATTCTGGATCCGGCGAACCTCATATTCTCCCCTCATTAGTTCGCTAAAACTGGAGTGAGATTCTGTAGGACCTCTTCTCATGGGCGCTTGTTAAACCGATGACTTGGTGATTGCATTCCGTTCACATCTTCTCCTATCTCCCCCGCTTCGTTTGCCGACGGCAACCAGATAAGACACCGCACAGCCATGGACTTCGAACAGTATGGGCAGAGCTCCCAGCAGCCCCGACAACGGAGAAGAAGAGCCGGAAAGCGCCGATTGAACAATAAGGCACCCATCGCAGCACGTTTGGCGCTGGATCCCCAGCTGCGCGGGAAGGTCGGTATATTATCCGAGGATCTAGCGAATGACCTCTTCCAGCAGCAGGCCCTCCAAGGTGAGCGTGAAGCCCCCTCAATTGTTCCTAATAAGAATGTTAACGACTCTTCTTCTTCTGATCAGATGTCACGACTTCCGACGATGGAGTGCTCTATGTTGCAATTGCCCCACATACGCCGACTTATACCTCCGTGGAAGATCAGGCCTGGACGATACTCCCAGTGCGCATTCAGCCCACAGAGAGATCGCCAGTTCCAATGTCAAACTCGACAGTGCTGTTTCCTGAATCAGCAGACTCACTCCAGCCTTTCCTCCAGGCTTTGGGGAAAGTTGACTCGTCACGCAACTCCCTACAGGCACACCGTTCCGTAGAGATTCGGATCCTGGATGTCGCCCCGATTCACCTCGATACAATCTTTGTGACCGTTGAGCGACACCTCCTCCGCAATCACGACGATGTTCAGAGCAAGTTCGGAGGTGGATTCACGAATGCGCAGGGGCCGAATGGACTCTGGGGGAAGGCGGGGAAGTCGGTAGAAGCCAAGAAGTATTCGAAAAGGGCTGCAGCCGATGCTGAACAACGTCTCACTGCAGCAGTTCGTGAAGCATTGGGAGCTCAGCACATTGTGCATACCGGAGACGTGCTGCCCCTTCCACTCCCTTCTCATCCCATAACTTATGCGCCCCCACCCCCTGCGCGGATCTCATTCTGCGAGCCCGTTTCTCAAGGCTTGCTCATGTCGACGACAAAGATCGTGCTTGTCCAGGCTCGCCCTCAAGGACTCCGCGCTCAACAAACTGTGCCTTCGAGGTCTGCGCTTCTGAAGCAAGTGGCCGAGGACGAAGCTGACGACACTTCCAACGAACAATTCTATTCTGCAGCCGAAGATAAACCTGGCGAAAGTGGGACAGAAATGGAAGTAACATCAGCTGCCGAGGAGTCAGAAACAGAGGGCTCGGCAGGGTCCATGAGTGACTCCTCGGATGATTCTCTGGAAGATATGATTTCTCTTAGTGCGCCTGAACTGCCACAGGCACCATCGGGGATGATGTCTTCCTTGACTTCAGCGACTCCTAGAGCCGGCGGTCGACGACCAGATGGTATCCATACCCCCGGGTCTGTGGCATCGAATTTCACATCGGCCACCATGCGCCCTGGCCGGGGCGGAGGAAAGACCTTCAAGGTGGAAGGTCTCCTGCAACAAGTCCCAAATGAAATGCTGCACCCCCGGCCTCGTGATGATGAAGACGTCGACTCCTTTGTCTTTGTAGATATCAGCACCCTCGCCAAGATTGGATGCTTCTCCGGCGATTGGGTCAGAATCGAAGCCGCCGAGGAGCCCCAACTAAACATGTTCGCCTCGCTCAAATTTGGAAGTTTCAACGACTCTCCTGAAGACTCAGGCGATTGGCGCCCAGTTAAGATTTTTGGTCTTTCGGGTCTTCCGTCCTCCAAGCCGCGGTATGCCATTAACCACTCAGGTGAACGCCGGCCCAGTATTTCGCAACGTCCACCCAACCGCTTGACCCCTTCGGTTTTCGTTCCCCCGTTGCTTCTTGGTAACATTGAAAACCCTAAGTACCTGCGGATCTCTCCTATGACCTTCGCTACTCCTAATGGGTCCTCCAAACCTGGTATTTTGCAACACATGAAGAACACTGCTGCTAAAAACCCTCCTTTGGCGAAAGAGGTTACATTGCTCAAGGTTTCCACTCCCCTCTCAATGGATCGGGTCCTTCAACCGGCGCTATTTGCAGGATTGAAGCAGTATTTTGAGTCACGCCGGCGTATCCTTAAAAGTGGTGATTTGGTCGGAATTAGCGTGGACGAAGGACTCGGCAGAGCGGTGTTCTCTGGGACCGCTGGTGGTGACAGTGCCAGTCAGGAGGAAGACATTACTATCCGGCTGAGCCAAGGAGCCAATGCAAATAATGCCGGAGCCCGCAAAATCGGCGTCGCTTGGTTCCGCGTCGGGCAGGTAGCCCCGACCACTGTAGAGGAGGTGGAGGAGACAGGCGAAGATCAGTGGGGTGGAGTCGCTGTACTTGACCCGGCGACTACGCGCATGGTACAGGCTGGAAGCGATGTGAGCCGAGTTCCGGGCGTATTGGGCAACGGCTGGGAGTATTGGCTGGGCGTCAAGACGGTCCCAAAGAGCGTCCATGATGCCCCAACCCCTCATGGAATTGTTGCCGATCCACCTCAGCCCTTTATCCCTTCATTGCAGCAGCGAATTCGTGATCTGATGTCTGCTGCCACAAGCCCGCGGGCTATTCAGCTGGGAATGAAGCCCGTCTTCATCCTCCTCAGATCCCAGCAAAGACATATCGGCAAGGCGACCATCGCAACTCGAGCGTGCTCGGATATCGGCCTCCACACATTCCCCATCGATGCGTACGATATCTTGACGGAAGGCGGCGCGAATGGTGGCGATGTTAAGACCGAGGCATATCTCAAAGCCCGAGCAGAACGGGCTTTCCACTGCGGAGCAAACTGCACCGCACTTCTGATCAGGCATATCGAGGTTCTAACCGCTGATCGCATTGTCACGGCAATGAGCGATATCCTGAACGATGCCAGAGTTGTCATTGCCACCACCACTGATGTGGAAACTATCCCCGAAGGTATCCGCAGCCTCATCACCCATGAGTTCGAGATGGGTGCCCCGGAGGAGAAAGAGCGTGAAGGCATTCTGCAAAATGCCGTCGCAGAGCGCAGTATCAGACTGTCTGCGGACGTGGAACTGGGCAGCATTGCTCTGAAGACCGCGGCTCTTGTTGCAGGAGATCTGGTTGACGTCGTGGAACGAGCTGCTGGAGCGAGAACAGCTCGCCTCGAAAGTCTGGCCGAGGCCAGCAAGAAGCTTTCCGGCTCGGAGGTCTTCGTCAGGGACGTCCTGCTGGCAGGAGGCGACGGTGCACGAGGTGTCACCAAGGCAGACTTTGACGCTGCCGTAGAAGCTGCGCGGAAGAACTTTGCCGATTCGATCGGTGCACCTAAGATTCCAAATGTTGGCTGGGATGACGTTGGTGGATTGACCAATGTTAAGGATGCCTTGGTCGAGACCATTCAGCTGCCGCTCGAAAGGCCCGAGCTCTTCGCCAAGGGCATGAAGAAGCGCAGTGGTATCTTGTTCTATGGCCCACCTGGCACCGGCAAGACCCTTCTTGCCAAGGCCATTGCCACCGAGTTCTCACTCAACTTCTTCTCCGTCAAGGGCCCTGAACTGCTTAACATGTACATTGGTGAATCCGAGGCAAACGTGCGCCGGGTATTCCAGCGCGCTCGGGATGCTCGTCCCTGCGTTGTGTTCTTTGATGAGCTGGATTCTGTTGCCCCCAAGCGTGGTAACCAGGGAGACAGTGGTGGTGTTATGGACCGTATCGTTAGTCAGCTGCTCGCAGAGCTCGATGGAATGAACGGCGGCGAGGAGAACAGCGGTGGAGTTTTTGTCATCGGTGCGACTAACCGTCCCGATCTGCTTGACACTGCACTACTCCGCCCCGGTCGCTTCGACAAGATGCTCTACCTGGGCGTGTCAGATACACATAGGAAGCAAGCGACTATCCTTGAGGCTCTGACGCGGAAGTTCGCTCTCCACCCCGACGTCTCACTTGACCGCGTTGCGGAACAACTTCCTTTGACTTATACTGGTGCTGATCTGTATGCACTCTGCTCTGATGCCATGCTAAAAGCTATCACTCGAAAGGCCACTGCGGTCGACGAGAAGATCAAGACCCTGCCAAATGGTCCCGTCAGCACTGCTTGGTTCTTTGATCACCTCGCCACAAAGGAGGATGTGAATGTCATGGTAACCGAGGAGGATTTCCTGTCTGCTCAAGTAGAGCTTGTACCAAGTGTCAGGTATGTGTCTAGTCCACCCCGCCATTCTACCCCACCCCTTGTGTCCTGGTGACATACCATGATACTGACCCCTACAGTGCCAAGGAACTCGAGCACTTCGAGCGCATCCGCCAAACATTCGAAGCAGTGGACAAGTCAAAGCAAGACCCCGCCGCAGCCGCGCCACAGACAATCGCAGAGGCAATGGAGGCATTCAGCCTGGGGGGCTCGGCCATACCAGAAGAGGCACCTGTCGCGAACGGTGATAGCCCCACGCCCGGGGGTATTCACGGTCGTATCAGAGGCCTGAACAAATGGCCAGGAAACCCTGTGCGCAGCACCAGCGGCCAGTCAACAAGCAGCAGCAAAGGCAAAGGAAAGAGCGTCAGCAAGAAGGGAAAGTCCCGCACCGGTGCGGAATCTGATGGATCTGTCGATGGTGACGATGAGGATTTGGCATATAGTGCCAATTCCAAAGAGGATGAAGATGAGGATGATTACGTTGTTCGGACTGATCACTTGATCAACCCCATGGAGGAGGTTGAATAGAAACTCTGGCACTGTCCGTATATTTTAACATGCCGGTACTGCTCAGCTGGCCGACCATGCGGCCTTTGTATCTACTATGCGGTTTGATATACCTATTGTTTATCTGTACATTTCTGATTCTTGTCTCTGCTATTACTACATCCTTAGCCTTCTGTGCCATCAGCGCACGTAGGTCCATGGTGGCGCCAGACTAGATAAATATCGGCAATTTGAAGGTTGTTCGCTCCTGTCACGTCACAGTTGGAAATCAAATTAAGGTTCACCATTGATATTGAGCCATCACTACCCGCGCGTCCACGAACAGTACCATGGGTCTCTCCAGGCATTTCCAAAACTTAGAACTTAATCTATTTGACCTCACGCCATCTTCCTTGTCACTGTCGGAGTCACATCCTCGTCCACGGGTCCTTCTCATCGTCTGTCGAAACCAAACCACTCGCGTGGATCAGATTATGCTCCCTCTGACACCCACCATCGTACCACACAGCCCATGAGTCGAGCATTTGTATGCTGATCTACGCATGATTACTTTCTTCCCGGGCACTCATGCACTGGCATACGAATGCTACGACTTGACATTGTTTCTAATGACAACGACGAGGTGTGAGAATTGGGACATTCTGGGACATTTTGAAAGATATTAGTTGCATACACTGCAGCTGAGATTAGCTTCCTTGTATTACTACTCAGGATATCTCTTTTTAATAAGAATTCTGGCTAGCTTTCGATTTCGGCCCTTTTTGGAGCTCTGGCAGGTTGTAGTTATTCATTATTAGAAACAGTAGATTTATTCTAGACTTAACTTCCCAGTGTACTCACTTTGAGCGAGACAAATAAGACCCCGTCTCTCGCCTTATAGCAGTCTCAAGGTAACATTCAGCATCCCTAGCGCCCGCTACTTCAGGAAACACAAAGAACTAGATTCTCTAAGCCTATTCGTAGAACGGCACCTCAATAGAAATTGCAAAAGTTCGGATAGAGTATCTTCCTTAAGCCTTCCTCCCCCTCTTTGTATGTGGACTCTAGATCAAGTCGCAGCATTCCATGAGCCAGTATCTGCGGACACACAATCCGGATATACTCAATCACATAAGAGTGGTAGCGCATATAAAAGGCGCAATGGTGCAGAATGACCTCTGGCTCGGTCTTGTCCACGAGCTCCCCGGAAGGCTCGCCCTTAAACAATACAGTATATCATAAATAAACATAGCAAAGTACCACTTCACACCTGCGCTTTGGGATCGCGTTTGCCATGCCAGGCCACAGTCGCGCGCTTTCCAATTCGCCCTTCCCCATAAATTGAGGAGTTTGTGTCTCTTTTTTCCTGTCACCTCTTCTTGTCACCTTTTCTCTTCACATCTTCCTTCCCTCTCAATCCCTTCCCATCAAGTTTCCATCCTTCTCAATCCGAAGGTTTGTGTTACCTAGGTGACATGCACAGTGTTTACCACCTCATCCACTGACATAACACTGATAGGAGACTTCCATTGGTTGACCGTGTTTCTCCAAACAGTGGCCTCTCTTTTTGCCTTCTCTTGAACAAATTCAAATTCAATTCTTCTGATTCCCATGTCGTCCCGAATGGATTTCAAGCTAAACCCGGAGCAGTTGTCCTGGGGACGGGCTTTTGCCAACAGCCGGGAGCCTGCCAAGCTGCTAAAAATCCTTGCGAAGAGCCCCAATTCCCTGGAAACTGGAATCGTTGATATCGAGGTGAGGCCTGTGCCGGTGCCCATAGTATCCAAGGAGAACCCCATCGAGGACTTGGGGGATATGAAATGTCTCCCACACGAAGTCGTGGACATGATTGTCAACAAATTGGACATTCCCAGTGCTATAAGCCTGTCATACGTCAACCGCATCGCCAATCACTTTGTGCAGCAAAGCCCGGTGTCCTTTCTGAGGCAGTGGGCCCCCGGCATGCCGAAAATTCTCAAACAGACACAAATCCACGAGAACTGGAGCATTCTTGAGCTTAAAGAGGCCATCATCCGTGAAAAGTGCGTTGCATGCGGCAAGTCGTCTGTTCAACTCTACCTTCCCACGATGGAGCGTATCTGCCACCCATGCATCCACGACAGCCATGCATACTGGTGTCTCCCCGTGGAACAGGCAGCCTTAATCTTTGGCCTTGATCTACCAGACGTCATCAATACTCAAACCATCTACCTGCCGCGGCTGAGCAAGAAGAACTTTGATTTGGGGGACCTTGGCGCCTGGGTTGTTCCTATCAAATTGGCGCTGACCAAAGCCCTGGAGCTGTACGGCTCCCGCAAGGCCATTAAGCGTGCTGCGGAGGGCAACCCGCCGGGTACTGATGAAGATGAAGAGGATCGTGCTTCCGACGACGAGGAATTTGTGATCGAAAACCAACACGACATCTATCGCGCTGCTCCCCTGAATTCCCTCCCCTCTGTCAAAATGCGTTTGCTCGTGTCGTTGGGAAATTACAATCGGCACGCTCACCACCATGAGGTTGCCTGTCGGGTGCCTGTCGTCAATCGAGACAATACGCGCAAGACTCTTTACACGTGCCGTGGTTGCACTGCCATGCTCACGCACCCCAAGACCGACGCAATTTCCGACAGTCATTTGGAGATGATGAGGCTTAGCCCTGCCCTCGACAAGTATGAGCGCTCGTTCGAGATCTTCCGCCGCGCCTTTTGTGTGTGGACTGAGGCCGAGATGATTGAGCATGTTCGAAATGAGTGCATTGGGGGTTGGATCCTGCTGTATGCTGAGGGTCGAGATGAGTAGTCATGTGTGGCTCTATCGCCCTGGATGCAAGGAGTGAAACTTGCTAGTGATGGACATGGGGGCTGGAGGAGAAGCAGTGGGTCAGGACGGGCCTCTTGGGGCCGTTCAACTGGCTGTGTTGGCTGAAACAAGCCATACGCCGCCATTAGCACAATGAAACGTTGGTGAATTTGAGAATTTCACTTTCAATGGATGTCGACATATGGTTTGGGGTCAGGTGAACAATGTATGTACTCTATGAATCCTACATAGGGACAATAAAAGTGGGTGGCCGATCAATGGCAAATTCGATTTTCTTTGTTTTATGTAAATGTACTCTTCGATTCTCCTGGGAATCTTGCTATGTTTTCTTTCTTTCCTTTTCTTTCTCAGCGTCGCCTCCCAGAAAAGGACATCCTGGCTTGATATCTGTGTTTCACTGTGTGAGTTCTGAGTGGAGTGATCTGAAACACCCCTAGGGAACAATGTATATGGCGTTGGAGAGCAACATTACAGATACCCAGTTATCGGAGACGGTATGCTCGGTAGAATAAGGTAAAGACCAAACCTGGAACACTCCACGCTTTGCCTCTACGGGTACTGATAGACGATCCAATATATGGCGGATACGAAAGAGCATCCCACGCTGTGAAAAGGAGTCCACCTGGTGAAGGCAAGAGATCTTTTTACATAGGAGTATTTGTCTCCAGAGATAGCAACCTTGGAAGATTTGCGGCCCACCGCTCCACATAGACTCGCTTCCCTGAACATCTCGGCCCAATTCACCGAAACAGGGATAAATGCCGTACAAGGCCACAAAAGCAGTAAAGCCAAGGCTGCTGGCCACGTCCTCGGAACAGTATATCTTCATTCAGCATGCGTATATTTTCGCATTTATCCGTCTCCAAAGATCGTCCACTTCCCCCAGCCCTGGAGTTTACATTCCTTCCCGCTAGTCGGCCCTATGGGTCTGGAGTTGGCCAATGATATGTCGATTAAGGCATAAGCACTGGGGCTGCCGCCACAGGCCATGGATCGTCGGTCCGCGACTATCCAAGGGACTTGGTGCGATGATCTCGCAGCTTGTAACTGGTTGAAGTCGCCGCTCTCGGTCCGCCGGACCAGTCACAGACACGGCTGCTTATCGCATCCCTCAGTCCCGATTTCTTATACCCCAAATCTTTACATAACACTTCTCCATACCCGTGGACTCGCTCTATTATTCCCCCGCGGGGAGCCAACGGCAGTGGAGAACGCTGTAGATTGGGAATAGGAATTGATATTCGAAAATCTGTCGTCATGTTGTTCTATTCGGGGCCTGTTTAAGACCCCTGTTCGTCCTTGCCTGATCTTTTTCTTTTCATCACTTGTTGCCTGTGGTACATCCTCGCCATGGACAAAGAAGAATACAATAGCGACGATGCTCAGCTGGCCCAGATGGGCCATAAGTCTGAGCTGAAGCGAAATTTCTCGCTGATGTATGTGCTACAATTGAATCGCATTCCTGGATTGTGCTGACCTCTGTGTTCGTTCTTGAAGCTCAATGCTGGGTCTTGCTTTTGCCATTCTAAATGTATGTGATGCGACTGGCAGCATACCAAATTCCATAAGAATCGACAATTGACACTGGATAGTCATGGACCGCTCTGTCGGCAAGTTTGGGGCTCAGTTTGCCCTCAGGAGGCAGCGTTAGTATTGTCTGGGGTATGCATCCGCTCGGCTCTGTCTAATTCTCACGGTCTAGAGCTGATATGAACCTCAATAGGTCTTATTACGGCAGGAATCTGTAATTTATGCATGGCCACTTCCCTAGCCGAGTTTCTTTCTGCATACCCTACTGCCGGAGGCCAATATCATTGGGTCGCTGTGACTTCATGGAGTAAATGGATGCCGATTCTTTCCTGGATTACGGGCTGGATCAACTGCTCTGGCTGGGTTGCGCTGGTCGCAACAGCTGGTCTTTTGGGCAGTGAGCTTATCCAGGGTGTGATCTCTCTCATGAACCCAGTAGGTTATTCTGGGCTACAATACTGATATATTTGACTGACTTTGAGATCCAGAGCTACAACCCCCAGCGCTGGCACCAATTCCTGATCTACTTCGGGTACAACATCGTTGCCTTCCTCATCAACGCCTTCATGAACAACATTATGCCTTATGTCACCAAGGGCGCTTGTAAGATACCCTATGCCGAACTGTTCGAGATCTTCTACTGATTCCCACAGTCATCTGGTCTCTGACAGGGTTTGCCGTCATTTGCATCACCGTACTCTCATGTGCTTCGCCAAATTATAACTCCGGAGAGTACGTCTTGCCTGGTCCACAATTCCCTAGAAGTAAAAGACTGACGACGAAACAGATTTGTCTTCACCGATTTCATCAATAAAACAGGATGTAAGTTTTCTCTATCATTGTTCATGTTTCTTGAACTGACTCTTGTAGGGCCTGACGGAGTTGCGTGGTTGCTCGGGGTATGTCGTCTAATGCGAAAATTCATGAGCATATCTAACATATTCACAGCTTTTGCAAGGTGGTCTTGGTGTCACTGGCTTTGATGGTGTCGCACACATGATTGAAGGTAACTTCCAAAGTTTGCACTTAACCATGAATCGGAGGCTAATGGACTACAGAAATCCCCAACCCCTCGGTTGAGGGACCCAAGATCATGATTGCCTGTGTCGGTATCGGTACCGTCACTGGAGCAATCTTCCTTGTTGTACTGCTCTTTGTGGCTGGCGATATTGACAAAATTATTGATTCCGCGGCAACTCCGCTCCTTGCAATCTTGAAGAATGCTACTTCGAGCAATGCAGGCGCTATCTGTCTCTTGATGTAGGCTCACTGCTCTCCTGTTGATTCCTTGTTGTACTGACACCATCCCAAGCTTCCCCCTTGTCTGCGCTCTATTCGCTGCAACCGCCATTATGACAACTAGCAGTCGCATGGTCTATGCTTTCGCACGGTACGTTATCATGGGCATTTCATGTTTGAAAATTGGCCATTATACTGATAGTAGATAGCGATGGCGGTCTCCCTGCGTCTCCCTTCTTCTCTCGTGTTCACCCCACGCTAAATGTCCCCTTGAACTCGCTTTATCTCAATCTGGCTCTCGTGACTATCTTCGGTTGTATCTTCTTGGGCTCATCCAGGTAAGCACGTGCATAACACTTCATCCTGGATATTGCTAACGTCTTCAAGCGCTTTCAGTGCTATTGTTTCGGCATCAGTGGTGCTGCTCGGCATCTCATATGGAATGCCTATTGCAGTGAACTGCTGTCGAGGAAGAAGAATGCTACCAGAGCGCTCATTCAACCTGCCAGAAATCTTTGGCTGGACCGTCAACGTCGTATGATATTTCTCCCCGGGGTTTCGCTGAAATCATTACTGACTCAAAACTTCTCAGGTCTCATTGATGTACATTGCCCTGACTACGGTCCTTTTCCTCTTCCCCCCGGAGCTACCTGCCACTGGTAGTAACATGAGTGAGTTGGCTTTCCTTCTTTATGATGACAAAGCACAAAGCTAATTAGATGTGACAGATTACTGTGTTGCGGCATTTGGTATTGTCTTTGTTATTTCCGTCATCCAGTGGTTTGTAGATGGACGCAAGAATTTCGTCGGGCCCCGTATCCAAGTGGAAGTCTTCAATGGAGAGGTTGATGCTCAGCCAGAGCAGCCGATTCCAGTTGTTGAACAGCATAAGGATTAGACTTGCAGATGGCCAGGATATATTACACATGATATAACTTGATGGTGCAAGACCTGAAATTTAAATGAACTTCCTCGCCATCCAGGCAGCTCTGTCAACATCTAGGGAAAGTATGTCGGACGTCGCAATACGATACCAAGTGTTCATATTTGAAATTTCGGCAGCCTTTAATACATGCTTCTGGCTTATACTCAAAATATTTGTCTACCCTAGTCGTTGCTTTCCATCAGAAGGGTGGTTTCTATATTGGTATATTTCTGAAGCAAGTTGAATAGCAGTTGGAAGTTGTGCGCTTCCAACTAAATTAATTAGGTTATCATGTCACATGACTAGATTGATAACCTGGAATTTCCTACGTCATCCATGGATATCAACTTCTGCTTCACGTGACGATTTCCCAACAATTCATCCAAACGCCTACACACGGCCTTACTCATCGCCACGATGTTTACTGTTCGGTGGCCATCATTGCCTTCGCTTGGCTTGTTTTCGTCCTCGCCCGCGCAGGCGATTGATTTGCCCCCGGTCCACGTCCATGAAACTGAGACAGCTCAAGACAAGCCGGCCCGGGCCTTCAAGCACCTACTGAAATTGAACCATGTTGAGAACTCGCTGTTCGACTGTCGGAACTTCCCTAACCAGTTAATACATGTGAGCTATTTGCATTTCCTTAGCAACAATAGCTTCCTATGTAATGCATTCCTCGTCATTGGTCCATGTCATTGACTTGCTTGCAGCTCTTGAGCTCCTCCTTTCTGCAAGGCGCAGACGCCGATACTTTAGGCCGGATATATGAGGAGGAAGTGTCTGATCTAGTTAAATGGAAGGAATCGCCGGCGGAAATCACTACTCTTGACTGGCGAGGCCACCTGGGATGTCGAGGGTGGGTTGCTGGGCTTGTCTCGGCCTTTCTTCCTCTCGGGACTCTTTGCTAACAGCAAGCAGTTTTGATCGAGCGTTTGTGGATTTCTTTGAAGATGAAATGGTCCGCCTCAGCTATGACTGGAAGGAAGTTGTGGCCGAGTACCTGTTTACCGGCAAGGAGCCCATGTTCGATTCTATAATGGCTTCTCGTATGTTTTCACGCTTCTCAAGAAAGATTGACTTCACTTTGCACGCGCTAACCATCTGCCTAGTCGGATTGCCGTTGATCCATCTTGCGTACGCTTTTGAAATGGACAGTCGTGAAATTGCAATGGAAGCACTCGGCCTTGCAGCAACCTGCCACAATGACATATACAAGTCCATGGAGGACCCTAAACACTCGGAAAATAAGGCATCATACGAATCAAAGTCACTCTTTGCAATTCTCGACCTGGTCCGGAAAGATGAGGACTTAGATGGCCTCTTCCCCACTCCCGGCAGCGATAACGTCGATACCCTTTTTGTTAGCCGCAACGCCGCGCTTCTCAACCACTGGAAGGCATGGAAGATCGAGAATCCCATTGAACAGTTCCGGGAGAGCCAAGAGCTTGCAGCTGCCTTGCTAGTTGGAACAGCTGCAGGCGATTCGACCGGGCATTACGATTGGTTCTTCGCTTTGGACCTCGCAACCAGTCACGCGGTCCGTGTCGTGCTGCCTTTCATACCTCCACAGTTCCAAATTTATCTTCTTCGACAATGGTGGTTAATCTGTGTCGGCATCTACGTGGCGCAACTGCGCCCCGAGATCAGAATGGACCAAATTCGGAATTATGATCTGAATGGAAAGGACTGGGAATGGGTTGCTGAGAAAGCTGTCAATGGTGAATTCTCATCCAATGTCTACTTTGTCAAAACCACTCGAGCACTGAAGGAAATGGCCTCGACTTGGGGCGATTCCGATAGCTTTTTCTTGAAGGCTGCTGTGCGATTTGTGACTGAGTTCAAGCGTTGGCGAGGTAACTTTGTCGGATACGAGCTGTAGGATTTCTCATATATTTTTCACTCCACTCAGCTCAAATTTACATACGATTCAATGGATAATTGAAGAAAATATATTGATTGACGACCGTGCCTTCACTACCCCATTATGTATGCGGTCACGTGCATATGTTGATGTCTTGAATGTTTGCACTGTTTGCAATTGAGAAACGCTGGCAGGCGACATCAGATCGAGATCACCATTAACATCAACTTGTCGAAAAGCGACATGTTTCTCATCGCCGTAGACAGTCAGAATTTTTGAGACCGCGTGACTGCTAGATAGTCACCCCGGTTACTCACCCTTTCCCTGACCTCGGAGCGTCAAACACCGCCAGTCGTCGAACACCATCCCTAGGATACATTCGAGCGTGCACAACTTCCACAATGCAGGATGCCGATGTACCCCTCTATCTCCACGCAGAATTTCTACCAAACATCCGCCAGATAACCCTTTACGTGTCACTTCCCGTGACTGCAAAATTTGATGGAATCCGACCAGATATCCAACTTTCAGAATCAAGAAAAGCAGTCACAGTCTCTCTATCAAAACCATTTGAATATGTCACAGAAACAATCAAACTGCCAGCACGTGCTAGTGAAGAGTCTCGACGCACGTTGAGAACGACCTCTGGGCCAGCGTCAAAATCAGACCCCAATGGCACTGGCGATCCCAGCTATGATTTTTCTTTCCGCATGCAGGTCGATCCCGACGAAGAGGCGCTGGCGTCTCGGGATGAACTAATAGATGAATTTGCACCCTGGACGGCCGAGGAAATGTCGTCCTCGACTCGTATTCGTTGTCGACAGTGTGAACATGCTTTTCTCAAATGCTCGTTAATATCCGAGTCGGTTAATCAGGGAACAGGCGAAAGCCCTACCTCGGGATGGACCTGGAAAGACCTTCCAAGTGGCAACTGGGCTGAAATGATGGATTTCTGGCATTGTCACAAACCTGACCCCCATGAAGGCCACGAAAAAGACGAGAAAGACTCTGCGCTCGAGATGGAGGATCAAACCGCACAGACCAAAGGATATGGTGCGGATAGCCACGTTGTGGCTATTTCTGGGACGATTTTTGTTGATGTTGCCACTTTCCTTGTCGCTGAAAAAGACTGCATAGGGTTGAAAAAGGTAAGATCTTTACGCCCCTCTCTTATTCCCACCATCCTTTTTTACCCTCCGGAACCGGGCAAACTAGAAGGGGACCACCCAGTTCTCGGTGGGGTGGCCTCCGATACAATTGCCCAAGATGGACGAAATGCACTTCGTGTACTTGCAATCCAAGGTGAAGGTGGTCCTCTCATAGGAACAGGATCACGAACAAGAAGGGTAGTCATCCTCTCTCCGGAGATGGATTTCGCTCTTTGCGTTTGTGATACTGGGCTTGTGTGAGCTGCCTTTTCCCTGTTTTGTGACTCAAGGTGTTCTCTATTTTCAGCGCCGGCTATTTGAGCAGTGTAGCGGGCGTGATTACAAGAGTTACATTATATTATTCTCCTTGCGTAATGTGATGTGGGCAACATCTATATATGAAAATGCAATGCGTTTCCCTTCACTTCCGAGTATTTTATCCGGCGCAATAGTTTCAATTCCCGGTACAATTATAATTTGCTGACGCAATGCAATTCAGGACAATGACGAAGAGCAAAAACCGAACATTGAAGTCTCAACACAACGAACGCTCGACTGCGCAAACTGCAATGCCATAATCGGCATGGAAGATCCAATCGCCCAGGGATGGCGACTGTTGAAGGCCAGCGTATCCCTGAATACCAGCTGTGAGGCAGACGTTGCGAAGTGGGAGGTCCACCCAACAGAAACAATCGTTGCTGCACAGTTGCTGGAATTGATCGAGAGAGAAAGCGCCCGGCGATTCGTCGTTCATTGCGGCCAGAAGAGTGGTCTCGTGGTAGGTGGTACTCCATCTCACTCCAATTTCCTCCGAATTTGAGGCATTGCAGAGAATCAAAACCTATAGCCGACTCCCGCTAACCAATAGTTGTACTTGGCAGCTTTGGGTCTTCAATCCAGACATGCGATACTCCAATTCTAGCGCAGGATGTAGTATCATGGCTCAACAAGCGATGAAGGTATTCTACCAAAAGTCTCCCGATGTGGATGAGTTGCTCCATCCGGAAATTGGGAATCCGTCGCCCTTGTCGGTGGAAGAGTTGGAGTTGCCATCCATGATATTTGAAGCAATGTCGCAAGCGTTGACTAATAGTAATGAGATGCTCCCGCTCTCTGCTAGGAGGTTTAACGAGTGGCATGTTGGGCTTTTGAGCCGTTACAGGCGCGAGAAAGCTTGAGTTATGGGGACTTTTGTATGATATAAAGAAAGCCTACGACATGCACGCAGCAGATCTACGCTGATAATGCCAGCGCCATACTTAAATTATTCCTTGTTTTCCTTTTCTTCTCAATTTGGGTTTGATATTATCGTGGCTATGTGTTATTTTGAATTCCAAGGCTTCCAGCGCCCATCTAACCATCAAAGGGCGTCTCAAAGGGAGGCTCTGCCTGGGGTGTGAGACGAGCGATGTGTCGGCGCTGGCCATCCTCCCAGTCGAAAACGGCGGAGTGGCAAGCCACACGGTTCTGCGAATGTCAGCGTCTTTTCTCACACTGAAGAAAGAGCAGGTTGGTGCTGTGACTTACATCCCAGACAACGACAGTACCAGCCTTCCAGCGAATACGAGCCTGAAGGTCCTGCGACAAGGCGATGTGGTCGTACAGGAACTTGAGGAGATGGTCTGATTCCTCTTTCTTGTACCCAACAATGTAACGGGTGACTATGCAACAAGGACGAGACATGTCAGCTTTCCAAATCTTTCATCAAACGTGTTCCATACATACACTGCGGGTTCACGTAGAGTGCCTTCTCGCCAGTGACCGGGTGAGTCCGGACGATGGGGTGCTCCGATGTAACAGGATCCCGGCGGGCAATACCGCCGCCATTCAAACTAGCATTAATCTGTTCGAGGCCGGAGTGTACGGCCTTCAATCCGTGGAGTCGTTCCCGGAAGCCAGGCGACAGGCGCTTATAAGCCTGGACCATGTCGGCGAACAGAGTATCACCGCCTGTGGTGGGGCCGTCGAGCACATACAAGAAAGTCGTGCCGGGGGGCTGCTTCTCGAAAGTGACATCCGAGTGCCATGTAATAGTATTGGTGCGTTCCTTCAGGAAGTTATCGCCAGTACGGTCATCAGCACCGCGGAAGACAAGGTGAATCTCTGGGAAGCCCTTCGGGGCCCCTGAGGTCTGGTGGATGTGGTGTCGGCCAAAGTAGCCGGCATAGTCGACAACCTCTTGAATCGGGCGGGATGCGAAGTCTTGGTCGCGGAAGGCTGTATAGATTCGTTAAAACTCATGTTTAAGATAGGGATCGAGATTGAGGAGATATCTTCCGTCACATACCGACGACTCGTCGCTGTGCAACATAGAGGGCTAATTGATCCTTGCCCTTGTCAGAGAGTTGGCTTAGTTGCACGCCGTGGATCTCAGAGCCAATGAAGGGAGTGAGCTGGTCGACCTCGACCTGGCCCTTAGGCAACAGGTCTGGGAAAGAGGCGTCGGCATCTTTGCCGTGGTCATAGTGCTCAAAGTGCTGCAGAGGAGGATATCTGGACATCTATTAGATACGATATTCATGGGGATGCGGGGCCGCATTAGGGCCAGGGTATAGACATACCTTTCTGTTTCGTTATCCCAAACGGGCAGGTATTCTGGATAGGATACAGGAGGCACCTTGTCTGTGCCCTTAATCTCAACCTCCTTTTCAATCTTGTATCCAATCAAGTTCTCCTTGTTGTGGCCGCCGTCCGACTTCAGTGGAAGCGCAACAGGCGGGGCCCGAAGGCCTACTGTCTCAGTGAGGGAGGGAGCCATATTTTAGGATTGAGTTCGAGAAAGTGTACGTGTGTATTTCCTCTTTTGATCAGATATGTTTTCTCCGTATCTTTCTCGTACCGCGGCGGGTTAACACTGCCAATATATAACGATTTCGGCACGATCAAACCGAGAACACGAATTGCGCAATCATTGCGGGGATTACGGGTTTTGCGAGCAATAAACTAGTTCAACTTCTGTGGTCCTAGCGAGCGAGCCGACGAGCCTGCGGGGTTGTTCAAAGTGAAACACTGTATACAAGTATACAATGTAAGCGTAGTCCTCTTAGCCTATGGTTGAGGATGACGTGATGAATGAATGGCGTGCGTACACTGACAATCGCCGTGATTTGAGAGTACGAATCCCTCATGGCTCGTGGGCTCTATATTGATGTACTCCGAGATATACGATTGTCAAAATCCACTATGGCGTGATAGACAACTCCCCTCGCGCAACATTTTTTTGAATATCTTGAATTTCGTTACGCTTTGGCTTATGCCTGTACTACAATTCAAATATCATGTGGAATAACTTGCAATGCAGTGAACATTTTAAAAAATATTGAACAGATTCCAAGTCAAGGGTACAATAGGTATCCCACACTCCATATAATATATCATAGACTACTCAGCACCCCGCGCAATACCACGTTTGCTTGGAATATCATGTAGATCGTCATGAAACGGGCTGGATTATGTGAATTACCCCTGCTTGATTTGGCTCGGCCGACTCGTTCGCTCAAACGTCACTTCCACTTCACTTGCGTGATTCAGCCAAGTCAAACCCCGAACGAGACACCCGTCGTCTCTTCTCTATTCTCAAATACCAATCGCTAATTGCATGGATTTCCTTTTTGTCTAGAAAGAATGCTATCTACGATATCCACAACCCCGCGGAAGGCCCTTCCGTCTTCCAGTCTAGGCCTCCCTGAGTCAACCTAGTCAGCCCTACTAGAGTCGCAATTGGGACTCTAAATCACACATGCACATCATATTCGGCAATTCCACAATGTTCTGTTATCAATGCTGTGATTTTTACCTTTTCGCCTGGCCCACACACGCAGAGACCAAAGCGAGACATCTGCAAATATGGCGTGATAAGTAAACGTCAATGTCGCCTAGCTTCCTTTATATGAGTTAATGCCCACCCAACCCATGCAATGGTTCTCTTCTCCCGTCCACGATCCGAGTTCAGATCCCAGTAACCGCGAGATGACGGTCGAAGAAGCCAATAAAACGACCTCAGATTCCGAGCGCTTTGACTCTAAGGTTACTCCGAGAGTCTCATCTGCAGAGTCTTCATCTTCATCAACATATGATGGTCCTCGGGCAAAGCAGACCGACTGTGCTTTCGATACTACTGAGGACCCGCGGTTCTACAAGCCCATTCCTGAATATGAGGGCGCCCATCGCTGGGACCCGGACTTTGAATGGACGGAGCAAGAAGAGAAAGCCGTTCTCAAAAAGGTATGAGTTACCGGTGCTCTCATGTATTATGTCCATAGGGACTGACCCGTTCCACAGATTGACTGGCGCGTTTGCACATTTGCCTGTGTGACTTTCTTTGCGCTCCAGCTAGATCGTGGAAACGTCGTCCAAGCAACGTCAGACAACATGCTGGACGATCTTGGCATGACCACGAACGACTACAACACTGGCCAAACAATCTTCTATCTAACGTTTCTCTTCGCCGAGCTGCCCTCTCAGCTCATATCGAAATGGGTCGGCCCCGATCGCTGGATTCCCGTGCAAATGATAAGCTGGAGTCTCATTGCCGCGTGCCAGGCATTCATCCAGAACAGGAGCGGGTTCTTCGCGACCCGCGCTATGCTCGGTCTTCTCGAGGGTGGCTTCATTCCAGACACCATCCTCTTCCTATCATTCTGGTACAAGTCCAAGGAGTTGCCTATCCGGCTCAGCTTCTTCTGGGTGACATATGAAGCAACCGCAATTATCAGCGCATTCCTTGCTTTTGGCTTCCTCCATATTCGCCAATCGGATGGCACCGGTGGCTGGCGATACCTATTTGCCCTGGAGGGTTTGATTACCGGTTTGATCGGTATCGTCGCTGCATTCTGGATGCCGCCCTCGCCAACGCAGACCGCGGGCCGATTCCGCGGTAAGAATGGTTGGTTCAATGAGCACGAAGAGAAAATTATGGTTAATCGTGTGCTGCGCGATGACCCGAGCAAGGGATCCATGCATAATCGACAGGCCGTTACGCCCAGGCTGCTCTGGCAGGCCCTGAAGGACTACGACATGTGGCTCATCTACCTGCTTGGTCTGACTTGGATGATCCCCAACACACCGGCTACGTCGTACATTAGTCTGGAACTAAAGTCGCTCGGTTTCAGCACTTTCAACACGAACCTTCTCACTATCCCGGCCTATATCATTTTCATTCTAAATCTGCTAGTGTGGACTTGGGTATCCGAGCGGTTTAATCAGCGACTGCTGCTTGGTGTCGGTGCTGAGCTTTGGGCTCTGGTTCTGTTGATCGCGTTGGAGCTTATTTCTGAGGATGCTAGCGCTTGGGTGCGTTGGGTCCTGCTGATCATGTTAATTGGCATGCCTTACGTGCATGCTATTATTGTTGCAATTACATCGCGCAATGCAGGCTCTGTGAGGACGCGAACAGTTGCTACTGCTGTCTACAACATGATGGTGCAGGCCAGTAGCATCATTGGTAACAACGTGAGTCCTTGTTCCGATTCCCTTGTGTGCTCGAGTTATTATAACTAACCATAACGTCCAGATTTACCGCACCGAAGATAAGCCGTATTACCATACCGGTAATAGGGTTCTTATGGCTCTTTCGGTGTGGAGTATGGCGATATTCATCATTGCCAAGATTTACTACGTGAGGCGTAACAAGTATGTTAACCCGTGCATTCTGGTCGAATTTTTTTCTAATATTTGCTTCTAGACAAAATGCCGCTATCTGGGATAAAATGTCCAGTGAAGAACGGTCGCGATACGTCGTTGAAAACAAAGACCTTGGAAACAAGAGGTATGTCGAGGAGTTTTCTCTTGCTGTACAACTGATGCTAATGACCGCGCTACAGAGTTGATTTCCGATTTTTGCATTAGAGAGACTACTACATTGTCTGGTACATATGTGATTGGATTATAGAGACATTATTGACTAGACTCTAAAACATCAAATAGAACAGAACCATGAGCTGAGCTCATTTCGCGTCAATGTCATCAAAATATCCGCCAAATTTCAAAAGAAGTAGAAATTCATCAATACATGGAGCAAAAAACAGAGGTTGAATTCTTCCTACTCGCCAATCACATACTCACACCCCTCATCCCCAATCCAAACCTCATGAACCTTTCCAGCAGGAACATCAACCCTCTCTCCAGCTCGAAACGTTTCCTTTTTAACTTCCCCATTATGCAGTTTGGCATTATCATCAGGGTAAGTGATTGTCAGAGATCCACGGCGGATAAGGTGTGTTGTCAGGCCGCTATGCGAATGCGGGGAATAATAGGCGTTGCTGAGGGCGAGGTTGACATCAGTACATGCGCAGATGAAAAAAAGACCGATTCGCTGCTACTAATGCAATTGGTTCTCCAATTTTAGGCGTTTCAAAACATCCATGTACGTACCTTCCATCTGTCCAGGTGAAGATATGTCGAAACCCCCACTCCCGGACGAGGCGCTCGCTCTCAGTGCGTGTTCCGATGGGATACTTGTCCGCCATGGCGGTTTAGCATAGGATCTTCGGGTCACTTCCTTGTGGATGCAATGGAATATACTAATGGAAGTTCGAGGCTGATGCGTATGTACCGGATAAATGCCAAGTCGGAGTCTGTCCCTTTCCGCTTTAGGGCTTATCTCTTGCCGCTTTACAAAAACCGAGCGAAGTACTGTTCTACTGGCCTCGTTTCAGACTGACTTTACAAGGATACCATACATAATGATAATATACCGGGGGGGATTAGAGGATATAACAAGCCTGGAAACCTTCATTACTTCGACGTCTGTTCAACATTGTACATAAACCGGGCCATAACCCATGAACTCTCACCCTCGGGTCAAATCAGAAACTCCTGCGCGCTAAAGGAAGCTCAATACGTATTATAACTATATTTGCGTATATATATGCAGGGTAGAGTTAGAGTTGTTCGTAGATGCACTGTCTACACACCGTAGGTATGCGTGAATGATGTCATATAGAATCTGGGAACTCCCACGTGGGGCTATCTACTACTTTGTATGCACCCGTTGTATATGCAGGACTGAGGTACTTGAAGGAGCCCAATTTAACGCGAGTGGTACTTCTAGCTGACCTGATAAAGTGTTGGTAGACTCGGCCCAATGGCAAAGATAGTACCTGATTATATCTGTTAAGGCTATTGACTAGAAGGAAAAGCAAAAACGTATCGTATATCTCGTTATTAAAAACGCTATAAGAGAGGATAAACCGAAACACCATGGTAGAAACCATTGCTCCTTTCGCCTGAGGTTTATCCGGTGCCAAATAATGGTAGGGTGTCAATCTCCAAGATATTCGCAGGCCTTCCGTGTGTTCGGACGTATCGAATTCATTCTCGACATTCAAGAGGGAGTCTCCATATGACTGGGAGAGGGTACGTGGAAGAATCAGATCATGACTGGACGGCATGGACATATATTACTGCACACAATCTTCATCCCCATGATGGATGTGCAACATGGGACCTCCAGCCTATCATGCACAAGGTGTGTGACAGATGTGACAGTTTTTGCCTGGGATAACCCAGACTTCTTTCCCCTGCGCTTGGCAATTGGGGCATCGCACACCTGGCATCTGTGGGATATTAGTATGTCTTCTTAAAAGTTCTGGAAGTAGCACGTCGATGATGAAGGAGGATAGGAGCACGAACCTTGGTGACGGTAGGGGAGTTTGAGCACACCGGCGCGGCACATTTGGAAGAGGAAGTCATGGTATTTTGGTAGGTATGTCGGGCAAGAAAGGATAGGGGATAGAGAATATGAATAGAGTTCTTTGCCGAAGCCCGAGGATAGCGTTTAGATTTCTCTTTGGTCGAAGTCTGAAGACAAAGTCATGGGAATAGGACGAGAAGGGCTCCTTATAAGGTCTGGAAAGTAAGGAAAGAAGCCAAAAGGAGAAGAATAGATCTAGTTCATACTCGCTAATGGGAAACGAATCAAAGAAATTAAAAAGACAAAAAAAATAAAATTGTAATCTCAAATTTAATATCAAAAACTTAGCAGTCTCGGTAGTTCCCGCTCAGCTCACTCCTTTGTTTCCCCCAATGATATCAGCCAAGTAGATGGACGTTCGTCCCGACGGCTTGGCTTTGCTGCACAGGCATCAGAGCCAAAAAACGAGCCAAAAAACAGAGTCATCACAACCCCTTTTGTACGCCACCAGCCCACTTAAGAGGCTTCCGGGCCTGTGAGTTCGTGATGTTTGCTTCCTAGAGCCCAAATATCAGTGATTCAAGGGAAAAGGACAGAAGAAATGCGTCTGTTCTCCGGAAACTTGCATCAATTCACCGATACTTCGAAGGAAAAGGGGGGGAGGGGAATTAGGATTGCAACTCTCAGCACATTTAAGAGTTGACGTATCAACCCCAGAACCATAGCATATCCAAGATAGGTCTAGTGCTCGGTCATCTTCGGTCATTCTTGTGCTGTGATTTGCTGATGATATTCGACATGGGTCTCCTCTCCATCCCTCAAACGACGATCTGGCCCGATCATTGGCTACATCGTTGGGGCCCCCGGTCTAACGCTGGATTATCACACTTTTAGTTGTATGCATGCAAATTTTATGGACATGACACATGAACCCTCCACTAGGATCTGTCAAATGACAAATAGATACGGAGTAGTTAGTAGATGTGGATCTGGAGCACGTCGAGTTTTGTGGTTCACTACCCCCTAGAAGCCCTAAGAATCCAGGGAGCATAGATGTAGACGTCTCATATTGCGATTCTTTAGACATGTGATCAACTTCCAGGACTATTATCGATTTACCGGGTCAACTTGACTTATCTGTTAGTCCCCACTAGCCATGTTGATCAATCTGATGCATGTCGCTTGGCATGTTGATCGCTCTTGAGGCTATGCCTTTTAAGGTGATATTCTAGTGATTTCACCGGCCTCACCGATCTTCGTCTATATTATATGAACCCCACGGTTGGGGTTATGGCTCGCAGCATGCAAGAATTTTGTATTCGCCTATGTTGTACGTACTGTCTGTACATAGGCTAATGTATCTCGAAGTCCAAGGGCTGCTACCCCCACGTTCTTACGCATGCCTTGCCAACAATCCTCTTTGCTTACCGTTCTGCCCGTTGTATTCTGTTTGATCTGTCATTGCTGCTTTTTTCCCTCGAGGCCTCACGGTAAGTACTCACATAGCCAATGTAGCAAAATCAAGCGAACACTATTCAGATATCATTCAAGTCAAAGACTACGATATGCACATCTACCTTAGCGCTCTTAAGGAAACCAGCATACTAGACCCATGCACGGCATTATTACAAGGCATATCATGCGGCTAATAATTCAATGCCCTCTACCAGCACAACACTGCACAGCACGGAGTAGGGGCCTCCATATGCACCCACTTCATATGCCAACGGAGCCGCCTAGCTAAAACAAGACATGATCTGCTCAAACTCGGTCTTTACGCCTTTATTCAGACACCATCGGCGAGAAACTGCAAGGCCAAGATTAGGGAGTTGTTTCTAGTGACTGTGTTCTGCCTGCGAGACTGTTGTGTCCACGACTGCACAATGCTGTTCAAAAAGTTCAGACGAGTCCAAATGCTGAAGTAATTTGCTTCTGTTTAACGTCCTCGAATCAGATATGCACGCTGATTGGCATGATTGCATCTCATATCGCGATCGCTAATCTGTAGCCTGTCGCTCTTGGCCATGTCGAAATGAAATCGAAATGAGCTTGTGATACACATGCCAAACCTTTGAAAGACTTGTCACATTCGTCAGATGCTGGCGTGCCTTTCTGCAACCTTTTTGTTCCTGATTCTCCTAATGTGGAAATACGCTGTACGACGTGCTGCCCAAACCCTGCCCAAAGACAAATGGCTGTTCTGCCGTGTTTCTTCGAAGGGCCCTTTTGTGTTGTAGGACGTCACAATTTGGTACGTCGCCCTATACTAACAACATTGAATCCGACTTCGGTGACAAAATATTCCGGGTAGTTAAGTAACCCGCTTTACAATGTTAACTAGCAAGACACCCCCCGTCTTCTCGCCGGCGCATTCATGCAGGTGAACAAGCCGATAGCCCTCCCGCAGCCGGTCAAGTCGGATGCAAGCCCACGCAGCCAACGGGTCCCGACCGAGCTCGTCATCTTTGATCTTGAACCTAAAGAAAAGAAAGCAGAATCGAGTTAGTGACTTGTTTGCACATGATGCTCGCATCCTCGAATATGAAACGTATTATCGGGCAGTGTGCATGATAGTCGAGGTGACGCCGAGGAAAGCTACAGGTCGCCCTGCTAAGCCTAAGCCCAGACTTATGCATCGTGTTACCAAAGGGGAAGTCAGGAAGAAGCAAATATCAAGCCCAATCGTCATTTTATGCGATGCGGGCAAGCACATATGTTCTTTGACCGGTATCACAATGCAGGGTTCATGCCTGCATACTCGAAGAATTCATGTGATGGTTGAAACGCAGCAAGGGGAAATCTTGCGGAGCAAGAAAGAGGACCAAGCACGAGGTAAATGACTCGAAACATCAACGTAAACAAGAAATCGAAAAGAAAGACTGACCGTAGGAAACTCAACTCCTCAATTATTCCCGCTACGGTCGGGAACTCCAATTTCTGGCCCTTGAAGTCCGGATTCCGACCTGAAGAACTCTTCGTGCATCGCCTGTAGCTGCTCTTCTCTGCGTCGGAGCTGGCGTCGTCCTGGTCCGGGGTAACATTGTTTCCGGGTTCTTCGACGTGCAGCTGGCAGTTCACATAGGGTTTAAATCCCCTCTCGCTGTGGTCGCCCGGGGGCAGGGAGAGGTCTTGCGCGGCATATATCTCGATTGAGAGGGTTAAGCTGCGGCGCTCCATAACCTCCGTCAGAGAATTGCTACTTCGGTAGCTGGGGGGCTTTAGTCGCCAGCCGTGGGATCCGGCAAACATCCCATGATTGAGCATCATGCCTTTGTCTATATTCTGCCAGTTCAATGCTACTAGTTGAGCGCCACGTCGCCAGTAGAATGTTGGATCAAGGTTTGATGAGTTGACCCGGAATGCGTACGGGTAGATGCGCATCAGAGATGTTCGGTTATGCTCGAACAAGGCGTCGCGCTGGTTGGCGTGGGCTTCTCGTGCTGCTTTCTCGGAGAGCGAGAACACATGGAGAGGAACTTTGGCCTCTGTTGATCAAATTAGCATCGCCTTCATGACCGAGCCTACAATGATGATGCATACCCGGTTGATCAAAATGACTAAAATGATACGCGCGAGTATAAACAGCCAGCTTAGCCAGAGCGTCAAGAATCTTTGATGGCTTCGGCGCCTGCTGCCCCGAGGACTTATCGGATTTCTGCGGTGTCAGAGCTTCCCCTTCGGGTTTCTCCTCCTCGCCGCTGAGTGGAACGCATTTGCTCTTAATCAAGATCCTCCTCTTCAGATCGGCTAGGGAGGGAAGCTTCCCATCATTCGGAGAAGCCTCCACGAGCAATCCTTTCCACGCCTCCAGAATGATGTCGACCATCGTCTGTTGCTGCTCGAGAGACGCATGTACCTCGAGACTAATGACCAGTGGAAGGTCACTGGCAACAAATGCACTGTCACGGATTGCATAGCAGATTTCACGGAATGTGGTTCCCTTGGTTAGGGTATGGCCATGCAGAACACGAGGCTCAATGGGAACAGGCATGTGGCTTGTAGCGGCCTCTTCGTCCGGTGGTCGCTGGGGCGATTTGGCTGATCTGCGACGAAGGACGCCACCAAGTTTAGCTTCCAATTTGGATGAGAAAGATCCTTTCTGTCCTTTAGCGGATTTTTCCTGGCCGCTTTTCTTGGCCTTCGTCTTTTCTTTCGACTTGCTCCCGACCCTCCCTTCTTCCGTTTCTGAATCACTGCTACTGTCGCTGCTTGTCTCGCTGTCGCTGTCCAATTCCCCATCCCAGACATCAATCTCGACGGACCTACAGCCGCGGAGGAGGACCTATTGGAGCATGAGTAAGTCCTAGATTCCGGGTCCTGGGAAGTCTAACATCCATGGGGGTTAAATGGTAGGACTATTCCGCAAAACATGAACTCACAGAGGTATAGGCACTAGAAGCAGCATCGCTGTACAGTTGATTCCCCGTCAGATAAGTGTTGTGGCTCGATGAGATGAAATAATCTGAAAGAGGTGCAGAAAGATCCAGGCCTTCTTCTGGTCCCATCGCAGATGAGTCCCCATCTTTCATGTACGCACGAAAGGCATCCAGAGAAGCCAAAGCTTTGGCGACTGGCTCGGAAGAATCTGCGGGGGTAATGTCATGTTGGATTTCTTTGAGGAAATAGTTCGCAGTTGGAGCATCTGCATGAACAGACGTGTAGATCTTCTGGATATGATCGTCCAAAGATGGGTGGAATTTGTCCACGGTGTGTGTGGCTGTCTTAGGTGGCTCGTAGAGTGCTAGGTGGTTAGCCCGGTCCACGAGGGCTTCGACTTGCTCCATTTTGCACTTTGTATACTGTTGGTTTATTCTGTTCCAGTAGGGAGTATGCCGTATAGGAGCAACCTTATGGATGTCGGGTAGTAACTGGAGGGGTAGGCTTATTGGCAAAGAGTTGCCCCGCTTATTTCAGGGGGCTGTGTCAAGTATCTGTTTTAGATCGAATAGAACGTGGATGTACAATATACGTTGTATGCTGTATACATGTACGCAGAAATGACAATATGCCATGTTGAGGAGAAAATCCTAATGTGACCCGTGCGTCTCCCCACTGCCAACGTGGCGCGTCTCTGAATATACGAAGTGCGACTTTTGACTTTCAAATATTCGAATGAATTCATCTAAACACCGGAAGACTCTCCTGATCAACGTTATCTTCCCTTTCTACACCGGAATCCAGCTGATAAATCAGCCCCACTGCTCGGAGCCCGAGGTCTGACGTGTTTTATAAGTTGGACTATTCACCAGGGCAATTGGAACTTAACATTTTGAACCTGTTCAGCTTCAACTCTCAAGCAGATATACAATCTACATATTTTACAAATGGCCTCCAACATCCATTTCTTCGATATCACATCAGTCCTACCCGGTACGAAACCGAACCTCTGGATGACTCAAACGGAGCACTAACTTAACCAGGTCCCGCAAAATCATGGTCTCCCAACACTTTGCGGACCAGAATGGTCCTTAACTTCAAAGGAATCCCCTACACCCAAAGCTGGGTCTCATACCCCGACATTGCACCTTTACTCAAGGCTCATGGCGTCCCACCTACGAAATCAAGCGCCCTACCTGGCAACTCAGCGGTCCATTATACGCTACCGGCAATCAGCCATAAGGGGTCAATAACGAGCAACCCAGAGGGGGTGCTCATGGACTCCGAGCCGATCGCCATGTACATCGACAAGCTGTACCCGTCGCCCCCACTCTTCCCCTCCGGCGATGCAAGCTACTCGCTCATGGTCGCCGTGCAGAAGATAGTGAGCTCGATCAGACCGAGTATGATCTCGCTGGTTATTCCCAACGTTCCATCTGGACTGGATGAGCGTGGACGGGAGTACTTTATCCGGACACGCTCAGAGGCTTTCGGGAAGCCGCTTTCTGAGGTCAGGCCGACGGATGAGGCAGAGTTGCTTGCTCTCCGGCAGCTTATCGAGAAGGAGGCCGAGACGCTGGTTAAGATGTTGAAGGGCAGGGATGGGAAGAAGGGACCGTTCTTGGAGGGTGAGAGGGCCGGCTATGCGGATATTATTCTCGCTTCGCTTTTGGCTTTCTTCGAGCGCTTTGACCGGGGTACCTTTGAGAAGATTCTTGTTCTTGGGGATGGGGAGCTCGAATCACTTTATGAAGCTTGTTTGCCCTGGCTTGAAGGGCAGGGGGAGGACAAGGAGTGGCCGATTCCCCAGTAAGTTATATAGCTCGACTCTTCTCGGCGATTGAGGTGGCTGTTTGGGACTGTTCGGGATACTCTGCGGCTTAGATCTGAGAGAAGTATCATTTGACATATAGCACAATCGAAAAAGAAATCAATGTAATAATACATCCCGGGTGCTCCAAAGGGCCCGGTCTATCCAATATCCAATGCAACATCGAGGCGGTTCTGGGCGCCTGCGACACAACCCCAACAAGAAAAGTACAATCGCTTTCATATGCTCCACTCGATATGGAACAAGCTTACAGACCGCGCAGGAAGTTGGACTCCTTGATGGCCTTTCGTCTGGCGTCACGTGCACTCTTGATAATCTCCGAGCGCTGCTCGAAGCCCTCAGTGGCATCAGCCATGGTATCAGCGGAAGGTACGTCGCGGTTGTAGGGTGCGGGGGTGATATCGTGAGCATGGTGGTGAGCGGGGATCGTAGCGGCGAGGGGGCCAGTACGTGCGGCCAGCTTCTTTTCATAACGCTTTCGTTGCTTCTTGTTCAAGGCTGCGGCAGAGTAAGCATCGTATGAAAAATAGGAAATCCAGGAGAAATCTTACTGCTTGGGTCAACACCGCCCTTCTTAATCTTTGCGTCCTTGGAGGAATCTCCCAAGAGGTTCCATAGCCAATCTGGGTACTCAGAATCCTCCTTGGCGAAGACATCCGGCTTGTTCTTGAAGTAGTTGAGTCCGTTCAGTTTGGTTCCGGCCGGGCAGCTGCTCGGTGGGCGCACGGCAGCGGGTTTTGTGGAAGCTCCGGGGTTGGCATCGGTGTGGACACCTTCGGGGGTGCTCAAAGGCTGAGAGACACCGGGGGTAGCGGAGGAGATGGCGGACGGGGTTGTGAGGTCGCCGACCGTGGGTTGGCGGGGGGAGGGCGGAGAAGGAGTAGCAGCCACAGGAGGGGTTTTATCACTGCTGTATGGGCGGAATTGGCTGCGAACTATAGGCAGCTGGCGCGCGCATGCTGAAGCCGTCTGGGTCACTGGTTGGTTGAATCGGGACAGCATCGTCGTGCGGCAGCTTTTGCAGATCATTCTGACGGGATAAATCAGAAAGATGGAGAATAGACAAGGCAATATCAAAAGGCTCGATAGAAGACCCTAGACGACAAGGAATCCCAATTGCGTTGAAGATGAAGTAAGACACGCGCGGAGACAGCTGTCGCAGAAAACCGCGGCCATATTTGATGCCAAGGCGGAGATACGTCACGTGACGGGAATGGCCACAGCGGTAGACAACTTCAACTTTGCTACAAGGCTCTAGTCTCATCATATGTTACGCGTGTTGAAAATGAATATCCTCACTATGCAATGACCATCGAAAATTCCTCGTCCTGACGACGTCATCTAAGCGGTTGTGCCCAGATGTGATATGTGACATCACGTGGTATCACACATCTCCACACGGTCAACATCTATGGATCAGTCCTCGATTTATCTGTGTTCATTGAGAATATTGAGAATACCTGCTAGACAATCCGAGGGTCAAATGGCAACTTTTGTTCAATTCGGAGCCAACGCACGTAAACGACTCTGTACACCCAAAGGGAAAACTTCACAAGACCGACCGCGAGTCATGCAACTTTAATCAACATGCTAAACCAAACAGAAAACAAACAATCGTTATACTGAAACACATGCCTCAAAAGGGCCCTCATTCCGGTGAGCAGGTATATTAGAAACAGGCAAAAAAGACAAACAAAACATAACTGTCATATAGGGCCAAGAGTATGACGACCGCGCTATGAAGACAGGCCACTGACGTCCAAGAAGTTGCAGATGTCCCGGCACGCATCCTTCAGGCTCTTTTCTGTCTTCCATTGAAGCTCTTCCGTCGACCGGTCGACGACCGCAACGCAGGCTCCAACATCACCTTCGCGACGTGGCGCGGCACGTCGAGGAATATGCTTCTCGGTAACAGACTCCATAGTGCTGACCACATCCATCACAGAATTTCCCTTTCCAGTTCCGAGGTTGAATGTGCGGAAGTTCTCTGTCAACTTGCCCTCGCTGGCCGAACTGAGCGCGGCAATATGCCCACGAGCCAGATCACTAACGTGGATGAAGTCACGGACGGCAGTGCCATCCTCGGTTTCCCAATCTGTGCCAAACATCGAAAGTTCGGAATATTGGCCGGTCATGACTTTGACAACGACGGGAAGCAGGTTTGTTGGTGCCTGTCTTGGATCTTCACCCAAAAGACCGGAAGAATCACAACCAACGGGGTTGAAATAGCGAAGTGCAACAATGGTCCATTCGGGGTCTGATGCGGCCAGGTCAGCTAGAATGGTTTCACACATCCATTTCGTCCGTCCGTACGGGTTGGTGATACCAGTGCATCCGGGTTGGACGGATTGTGATGAGCCTTCGTGATCTGTGTACAACTCTTCCTTGTGAACGCAGAGTTCCTCTTTCAATGGAAGACCCGATGTTGCGAGGGTTCCGTATACAGTGGCGGAAGACGAGAAGATGAACGTCTTAATGCCGAAGTCTCCAAGGGTTGTGGCGAAGTCGACAAGCCCGCTGACGTTGTTGGAGTAATACTTCAATGGGTTCCGAATGCTCTCCTCCACGGCTTTATAAGCTGCGAAGTGGATGACTCCGGCGATTCCGGACTTGGGAGTTCCCCACCGGGATGGGAGCTGGTACTCCTCAAGCAACGGCCGAAGAGCTTCGGTGTCGCGATAATCGTGTGCATGTAATCGCAAAGATGGCATCTTCGTTCCATTCTCCTCGTGATGCCTTTTGGCCAGGAGGCTGATGCGGTCGAAAACATTCTCGAATGCATTGCTAAGGTTGTCGATCACAATGACGTTATAGTTTGCCTTGAGCAGCTCAAGCGTGGTGTGACTACCAATGAAACCGAGGCCACCAGTGACAAGAATGTGACTCTGCAAAGGGAGTCTGCGCAATAAGTCATGGAGATTGTCGAATGGGTCTCCAGCCTCTGTTGCGGGCGTGTCCACGGCGATAGGAGATTGCGCAGGACTGCTTGCATCGGACCTTTGGGGGCTGTCCGACCTCGAGGAGGAAAATGATGTTGGCTCAACCATGATGAGAAGTCAACAATGAATGATAGGTAAGCTATGCTACCACTGCAAACAAAGAGAGGAAACGCTCTATGTTATTATATGACCAAGACTAAGGTATCCTCATTCTTCTGTGGGCCCCCAACCAAGGTTTTATACAAAACAAGCGAGGTACCTCCGTTGCCTGACTCGGATTCTCTGTTTGAGTTCATTTATGCCATCATTCCTTGGCGAATGAGGATCCAGCACGGTCCGGCAAAAATAGATAGGAACAAAAGGAACAAGCATCAGAATAAAAAAGGGCACAAAGCGAGGGCAATGTACGACGAACTGGAACAGAACCATCAGGCAAGATGCCCCTGGGTGGGCCAGACATGCGGCTGGGCCTTGGGATATCGTTTTGTCCGAATGCCCTGCCTTTACCTGTACTCCGGCCCTT